CGATCTCAGAAATCGAAGAGGCACCTACTTTTCTAGCCTTGTCAGCACCTGCCACACGCACACTCAGCTTTGCAGAAATTATGGGCATTCTGTCGAAGACTTCTGGTGAAGTAGAAAGCACATGAATCTTACTGTTCAATCACCCACTTCCCACACGCAACAATAGCTCATGGGTACCACATATAACTTTGCCAAAGTTCTCTGCCAAAGTTGAGCACGTGAAGCTTGCAGCTCCCACTACATCGCTCTGACCAAGAAAGGTAAAAGAATAGCAAAGAAACAGCACTAACAAAGTTTAGACACATAAATTTTGAAGGTCTAGCTACCATATTATTACCCACAAGGGTAAAGGAACAGTACCACTGCTGGATAATTGGAAAGTCCCTGTGTGTCAACCTCTGTGCTTCGTGGCAAGGTAGACTAGCAAACATGCCCAACCTTTACTCACATTCGAGAAAACACTCCCAACAAGATTGCTTGCTCCAAAATCGAAGAGGCACCGTTCTCCGAATCTCGAGAGCCAGACTCCCAACATGACTACTTTCTCAAAAGCGAAGAGAGGGTAAAGGAACAGTACCATTGCTGGATAATTGGAAAGTCCCTGTGTGTCAACCTTTGTGCTTCGTGGCAAGGTAGACTAGCAAACATGCCCAACCTTTACTCACATTCGAGACAACACTCCCAACAGGATTGCTTGCTCCAAAATCGAAGAGGCACCGCCCTCCGAATCTCGAGAGCCAGACTCCCAACATGATTACTTCCTCAAAAAATCGAAGAGACACTGCTCTCCGAATCTCGAGAGCCAGACCCCCAGCATGATTGCTTTCTCAAAAATCGAAGAGGCATCGTTCTCCGAATCTCGAGAGCCAGATACCACAGACCACTTTTTCAAAGTGCTCTGACAGAGTTAAAACATGTGAAACTGGCAGCTCCCACTACCGTGCTATGACCAAGCAGGGTAAAGGAATAGCATTACTACTTGTTGTTAGGGAGACTCCTATATATGTCGACCTCCATCCCCAACGGACAGGCAGACCTGCAAAAATGCTCAACCCTTCATCATATCTGAGAGGCACTCCCAACGAAGCCTTTCGAAATATTCAGCTTTCTTTCCCCCCGATAATACCTCTGCAAACAAGCTATACTAGAGCAAGAATATCTCATATCATCAGGGTTAAAAGCAAGAGTATCCCATATCATGCTTTTTCCCTGTCTTTTCCTTTGGCCTTGTTTTTACCTGCAAGACAAGGAGAAAGAGAGCAATCAGTCAGCACTTGGAATCAAGCTTCCAGCCAGGAACTGACTGCCTGGAACCCCTTACCTGATTACTTACCTGGCATTGCTCTCGAGTACTCATCTTCAACATCTTATGTTTCCAGGGAAGATTCCGCATCTGCTTGAGGAACAGATAGGGCAAGTGCGAAGGATACAAGGAAGCATGTGGAGACAAGCGTAACAGCACACGTGCCGATACATCCATTACTCTGTCAAAAGCAAAAGTATCCCATATCAGCAGGGTGGAACGTACTCTAGATTTGATGGACTTGTTTTGACCCTCAAATTCTTCAGTCGGCCTTATACTCTGGAGGAAACCAGAAAACCCTCCAGCTCAGTTCAAGAATAAGCCTGTGGAAAGTTACTTCTTCAAAAGCAAAAGTATCTCATATCATCTCTTCTCATTTTTCTTCTCTTTATCCTTCATGCTGCTGCAAGATGGGGAGAAGGTGAACAATCAGTCGGAGCTCTGATTGCTTACCTTGTCTGTCACCTCTTTCAGCAGACCCCCTAGCTCGGCGACTTGGGGGACTCCTACTACATGGTTTGTATCGCGCTTGACCAAGCCTGAAACTACAAGTAAGCTTCAAGTGAAATTGATACATTACCTTGTGCATCTCCACCAGTTAAAGATACCACCCCTGGATGGAGGAAGAGTACTTCCAGAGAAGATGCCACATCTACCTATGAGACAGATAAGGCAAGTCAAGACGACACCACACTCCGATACTTAGAAGTTTCGTGATTACGAGATCATTCTCCCACAATATTTCCTAATGTCATTTGTACTAAATCATTCACTTGTACTCACTAAAGGAGAGCTTGAACCTATGTACTTGTGTAAACCCTTCACAATTAATGAGAACTCTTCTATTCCGTGGACGTAGCCAATCTGGGTGAACCACGTACATCTTGTGTTTTGCTTTCCTATCTCTATCCATTTATATACTTATCCACACTAATGACCGGAGCAATCTAGCGAAGATCACAAAAAGCGACCGTTTTCGCTACCTAGGATCTATCTTGCAAGAGAACGGAGAATTAGATGGAGATCTCAACCATAGAATACGAGCTGGATGGATGAAGTGTAAGAGTGCATCCGGCGTGTTGTGTGACCGTCGTAGGCCACTGAAGCTCAAGAGAAAATTTTATAGGACGGCAATAAGGCCAACGATGTTGTATGGCACAGAATGTTGGGCGGTGAAGCATCAACACGTACACAAAATAGGTGTAGAGGAGATGAGGATGCCTCGTGGGATGTGTGGGCACACGAAATGATAAGATTGGGAATGAGGATATCCGAGGTAAAGTAGGAGTAGCCGAAATTGTAGGAAAGATGAGAGAAAATCGGCTCCGGTGATTTGGACATGTGCAAAGAAGGCCGACTGACGCTCCGGTTCAAAGATGTGACTACGGGACAGAGGTTCAGGGCCGAAGGGGTAGAGGAAGACCTAGGAAAACTTTGGAAGAGACTCTAAGAAAAGACTTATAGTACTTGGATCTAACGGAGGACATGACACAAAACCGAGCGCAATGGCGTTCTAGGATTCATATAGCCGACCCCACTTAGTGGGAAAAGGCTTTGTTGTTGTTGTTGTTGTTGTATCTTTATTCTGTTTATTTTGCATCTGGATGGACCCCGATTGTGACTTTGAGGAGATGGAAGAGTAAGCTGGTTTTCTATTCATCCATTTCTGTGCTAGATATATGTTTGAAGCATGTATGTTTTAATGAGCAGGTGGATGTTGGAGATTTCCTGCGTTTCAAATCATGTGTTCTTTACACAGAAGTTCATAATCCTGATCGGCCTCTAATTAACATCGAAGTTGTTGCCCACGTTACCAGGCCTGAGCTCAGGTCTAGTGAGGTATGTTCCCTTAAATGCACGTTCAAAGAATAAGAAAGCTTAAGTTTTAGCTTTAAATGAATGCCATTAAAAGTTGACGTTACTCCTGTTCCAGTTACCCATTTCGGTTAAGGAATTTTCGTTTTTATGATGGTCTATTCGCTACGGTTCCAGTTACACATTGCTTTGCTCGTGTTTGAAACAGGTTTCAAATACATTTTATTTCACTTTCACCGTACGCCCTGAGGCAAAGGCCACAAAAGATGGATTTAGGTTACTGAATGTGGTTCCAGCAACAGAGGAAGAAGCGCGCCATATAGTGGAACGAATGGATGCTCAAGCCTTGCTTTCAACTAATGGAGTCGTCAGCAAATAGACACAAATAGTTACGAGACAGTTGATATGTATTTTAAACAGAAAGGGGTGCTATTTATCTCAGAGTTACATATATGTTGTGCCCCTTAAATAAAGGGGAGTGTTATTCACACACCGTTTTAATTTTTTACACCTTGTAAATTCTTGTCCTTTGATATTCCGACAAAATAATGTGTGGATTGCATCACCTTAGATAAAATGTCATGTCAAATTGTCATTCAACTATTCAAGACCCCATATTTACTTTTCATCTCTGATTTGTGAAGCAAAATCAATGGTGCAGATCCATATTGTGCATGTGAAAGAATTACCGTTTAGAGCCTGTGGGATAAGGACACGGTTCGTTAGGGCAATATGTCCGTTGCCTTGCATCTAGGGTTCCAATCCCCATCCTTGGTTTTTTTTTTTTTTTACAACCCCATCCTTAATTTTTTTTTTAATAATCGATATTAAAAATATTGCTTTGACTGAAAGGAAGAGTTAATTTTTTTTTTGAACAATCAATATTAGCTACACTAAGAGAAGAGCGGTGGGCTTAACTTCACAATCAACTAGCAATAGTGTGATTCAAATTCGTCTTTGATGAAAATCGAACCTAAGACCTCTCACTTACCAATGAAGAAGAATACAACTAGATCGTAATATTAGATGGCAAGATAAAGTTAATATTCGAACACACTAATTTTACTAGGCTGACATGTTCTTCTGTCTCTTCTACCCCCACAAAATTCTCCCTTTTATTATAAAGAAATTAGAAAAAGAATTTCCAAAAAAAAAATTAAAAAAGGAATTTATCCTTGTTGCTGTCCTTTTATTTACTTTGGGTGGTTAAAGTTAAAGATGAGGATATACCATAAAAAAAAGAAGGTGAAAACTAGGGTCCATATTGGTGTCTTCACATGAAAAGGGTTAGATATTTCAACTGTGGCAGAGGCAATGGCAGGGGCAGGGGCAGAGGCAGGACCCCAACGGTCACTTTCCTTCATTTTTTCAAATTTGCAGTAAGCAGCATGCGAAATCATGTCGTGTTCCCCTTAATTGAAAACGACCTCTCTCTTCATGGATTCTTTTACCAAAGAGGAGTGGACCTCATGTTTCAACAAGTAATTCGGGCAAAGTACATTTTACTCCTTTTAAGTTTTTACCCCGTCAGTTAATTACCTTATCTTTAAAACGTTGCAATAGTATCTTTAAAGTTGTGTTTTTTTATATCCATGTCACATAATCCGAAAATTTGGTTGTTAATTGATGACGCGGCAAATGCAAAACCGATATCCAGGAGAAACTTTTATGGCACATGTCAGGCCAGAAACGAGTCGTCTATATTTGAGTATCATTTAGCCTCGCGTACGTACATCCTAAATGCATGGGATTCCACTCCTTGTGAAAGTGCCATGTGACAAAAAATAAAAAGTAAATAAAGATAAAAAAAAAATTCAAAAAATATCAAACACTACCGTTGCTATGATTAAATTACAAAGAATAATTGGGGATAAACGAGTTATGGAGAACAAATTAGTGGCTTGATACAATGCAGAACAGTTGCATAAACCATGTACTCTCAAGAGTTCTGCTTCCATTGAGCAGTTGTGTGATCGATCTTCCCATAAACTATCTAATCCGAATTACAACTTATTCTTCCCAGATAAAATCTCCTCCTCTGTAATTATATAATCTACAGAACGCAAAATCGCTTACATGATTTTTTACAAGTACAAATTTTTGGTGGGGTGGAACCTGGAGCTATGTATATAAACCTGGCATGCAAGCTGTTCAAACCGCCTACTTAACATGGTTTTTACAAAATCGAACCAAAACGCCATCGTGAAATGAGCTGCAGAACTATGGAGACGCGCTCTCATCATCGGATGAACTGTACCGCCTCAACCCATGAATTCCAGGAAGTAGTTGTGGCAGCATTGGATTTACTGGAACTACTTGTGGTAGCATTGGATTTACTGGAACTGGAAATTTGTGGGCGGTAATAACTTGGGTTCGCTCATTTATTGAACCAACTTCCTTACATACCCGATCAAGAACCGTAAGAAAGTCTCTGACCACCATGAAGATTCTAAACGGGTGAGCTTCTTCCCTAGCGGAGTTCCCGTGGAAGTACTCTGTAATCTCCTTCACCAGGGACAATGCAACACTTTCTTGAGCTTGAAGTCTTATAATCTCCTCTTCAGCCAATTTCATGAACATGTTCATCGACTCTGAGAATTTCCGGCTGCTGTCATCTGACACCGTCGTCTCATTTAATTGCACAACCTCCGCGATGTTGCTAATTCCTTTAGAAAGCTTGGAAACATCACTGCTCAGCACATCAGAATCCATGACAGCAGCTTTCTTCACGTTACTGAGGTCTGAACTGAGAGCTGAAACAACTTGCAGGCCAAGCCTCCTGCACTTGACATCATCACTCAAGGTTGGGTTTGAAGTTTGATTGCCACCGTTGAGACGAGCACCTTCCGTCCTTATGATTTCTTGTACGACAAAATGCAAGAGTGTGGTTTTCCCATCTGCCCCCTTGACGTCAACCAGCTTGAGGAGTGTGTCCAGTTTGAAGGCTTGGGCATCACCACGGTTTGTCCCAACATTCATCCGGTTTCCAGTCTTCAGAACAGCTTCCAGAAGCTTCAAGAACATCCTGCTGTTTCTCAATTCTTCACAGGCAGCCTAAGTAAGGAAATTCCAATGAGAAAATGCCTGATGGAAAAACTATCATCTCCACATGGATAGAAATACCCATGTTAAGTTGACGAACACTTTCAATTAACTTATTAATGTTTTTGTGTGCCTCGGTATATTCACGTCTTGATGGAAATGTTTACTTAATGTTACCATCTTAGCATAAGAGAACAAAACGGAATCTAGCATCACATGTTAAGAGGGGAAAGAAATGGTGTGATTTACCTCCAAAGTTTCAAACGACTTTTTAAGGTACTCGATCTCAGACTCAAAATTAGTCATGTAAAGCATTGCATCAATCCTTTTAAATGCAAAAGGAACGTCAAGCAGCTCTTTCAGAAATCTCTCAGCAGGACCAAGGTTAACTGGTGAGTTGTCTTTGTATTCCTTCAGCTTCCGTTCTTCTTCTTTGGTGGGAGCCATCTTCATTAGACTTTCAAGTAACTCAGTTCCAAGAGCGTCCGAGTTTCCTGCATTCATTACCAGTACCAAAGGACACCATGAATTCACAACTATCACATAAAAGTTATCACAAACCATTTCAGCTACAATAAAAAATCATCTAAGAAGAATCACAGTTATTATGAACTTATGAAATGCCACTTATCACGAGAATTCAAATATATCCCAGGCCAACCGAATTTTAAATTCTCAATGTTAACTAAACGGCGTGCTCAAGATATAACCAAAAGCATAAACAATATTACCATCAACGTTGATATGATAATTTTCTCAGCATTCAGGAAAAGGGAAGACAACTTTGAAGAAAAAATGGTTTTTACCTTCTAATAAAGCTTCACAAACTTCCTCTATGGTCACATTGAGAGCCCTTAGTGAGATTGCAATATTCTGCGACTTTTTTGGATCAAGTACTCTATTCTCTTGATTTGGTGAGGGAAGAACTGCACGTGGGGTCGTTTCCCTTGGATTCGGGTTTGGTGTTTTTACAACAAACAATGTCTCTATCATTTCTTCATTCAATCTGTAACCACCGTCCGATGATTCCACAAATTTAGTAGTGCAACACAGTATAAGCAACCAACTTACTACATAAATTATAAGTCTACCATAACAAGAAAAGCAAGTAAATGCAAGTACTATCTTACTTGAAAGAGCTCGATCTAAACTGATCCCACACCATTTCGCGATCGGAGCTTGCTCTAACTTTATCCCAATGCAATGGCTTCAACTTTGGTTTCGGAGTCTCCTCAATCGGCTCCAATGGTGTTGAACTTGGCGTCAACTTCACCGGCGAAACAGAGACCTTTCCCGGGTTTTGAAGCACAAAAGGTCTTGAAGGAGGTATGAGAGCTGGAGGCCTAGAGAACACTTGCCCAGCTGGTGTTCTAGGACTTGGTTTCTCCCAGAGTCTCAGTGAAGGAGGCATTGGCGGCGGCTGAGGAACCGAAAGAGGCTGCTTTAAACCACCACTAAACTCTCTCTCGGTTGAAGTCAGAGGCTGCTTTAAACCACCACTAAACTCTTTCTCGGTTGAAGTCAGAGGCTGCTTTAAACCACCACTAAACTCTCTCTCCGGTGAATTCGACAACGAAGACGATGAAGATGATGAAAGAGACTGCATTTTAGGATCCAAATGAATAAATGCTCGATCCGAAGCATTTGAAATTCTTGGTGAGGCAGCTGAGCTCTTCTCCAAACCTCTCAGTGGTGACATAGAAGGTGAAAAGGACTTGGCTCTTGAATCAGAACCGTTCGATTCTCTCTCTGGTGACAATGAACAATGTAAAGATGGTGAAGGGGATTGATCGTTCCGATCTGAAAAGGCCGAAATTTTCGGTAACGCATCTGGTTTGTTTCTGAAATTTAATTCCAGTGAGGAAATCGGCGAACTTTGATCAGAAACCACCGAAACTTTCGATGATGCATGTTGGTTGCTTCCGAAATCTCTCTCCGGTGAAGAAATCGGCGAACTTTGATCCGGAACGACCGAAACTTTCGCCGGTACATCAGGGGTCTTCTCCAATCCTCTCTCCGGTGACGAAGATATCGAGGACATCGACGGAGACCCTCCGTTTCGGTCCGATGCAGATGGGAAATCATCAACAACTCTCTCCGGCGAAGACATTGGAGTCAACGACGGCGACCGTACATTGACATCAGCAAACGGCGCCGTGTAATGCATGGCTGAGGGTTGCGGCGGTTTGGGCTCTTCTGATCTTCTGTTGGGACTTAAACTCACCGGAGGCGAGAGACTGATTGAGTGTGACCGAGACGGTGAACCCAACTCGGAAGACGAGCACGAACACGACGTCGTTTCGCTGCCTCTTTCATCAAATACGCCGTCCGCAACCGCCGCGAATACTCTCCTGGACCCGGATCCGTTTCCATTGGAGCTGTCGCGATCGCCCGAAGACCCTCTGGGAGAGTAGAACTCTTCTTCCTCTTCCTCTTCCTCGTCATCTCGGTCATGGGTCAGAACCGGTTCGGCATTCTCCCAACGGCTCAGCCTCGAGGTTTGCCGAACAAGCGGCGGAAGCGGCTGGAGGTCCGGCGAGTCGACTTTCCGAGTTTCTTTTTCGGCCCTACGACCAACGCTCCCGCGCGGGTCAACTCGTTCCTCGAGTCTGCGCGAGTTGACCACTGTGCCCAGGTAGAGGAACTCGGAGCTGTTGGCAGAGCCGGTTCGGACCTTGTGTGTACCACTGAAGGAGTGGCTGAGATTGGGCACCTGAAATAGCCTGCTGCTGTGCTCGGATCTAACATACGACTTTTCGTCCTCGTTGTCCGGGAAGTTGCGGCTGTTGTGGTGTTTGCGACGGTAGAGGAAGAATGCGGCGACGGCAACGACCATGACGGCGGAGAGCACGGCGGCGATAGTGAGGGCGAGGTGCTTGTGGGCGCTGGAGTTTTTGGTGGGCTGGGGGGCAATGAGGGAGGAGATGTTGGCGGGGAAGGAGGCGAAGGCAGTGGTTGGGGAGGGAGGGGTAGGCGGAGGGGAGGGTAAGGATGGGAAAAAAGGGGAATTGGGAGGGGGAGAGTTGGAACTGGAAACTGGGGGAGTTGGGTTCGGAGGTGGGGAAGGAGGTGAGGGAGATGGAGGCGAAGAAGATTCCTGCGGCAGAAATGGCTGGTGGAGGACTCTATGGTTTGGCCTTGGAGATGCGGTGAGTGGAGAGGATAAGAAGAGCAGGAGGAAGATGAAGAAGTTGGCCATTGTGATGACCTTGGAGATTGAGTTGCTGCAGAGTCCCCAGTGTTTTTGTGAGTGAAATTTGTCGGTCTAGAGAGAGGAAGTGAGGAGAGAGAGAGGAAGAGTGAAAAGATTGAATCTTGAGAGTGAAAAGGGTTATAGAAATGGGAGAAATAGTCCGTTGGTGAAGGTGGCAGTGGCAAGTGAGGGCAGCTGCATCCAGCTAAGATTCTTTTCATTGCTTGCGTGGAGTCGGACTGTGTTGTAGGGAGGTGTTTGCTACTTCTATTTCCACCTCACTATGTTTACTCGGACTCTTTAGTGTTTGTGCCAACTCTTTGGTCTTGTTTTCTTTTGGTTAAATTTAAAGGTAAATTATACAAACTACTTTAATTATAAGTCGCACCATAATTTTTTACCTTATATTTTAAATATTACAATATCATACCTTAATTTATGAATTTGTTACAAGGGATATGACATCTCTCAAAAATTTTGTTAATTAGGATTAGGCAGGTCTCTTAGTCTAACCATGAACAAGAACACTCAAATGATCAAATTTATGTCGGGATTATTCTTCGAAGCTTAAGTTAGTGATTTAGTCAAAAGTAAAAGTGTTTAAAAAAATTAGATTTGACTACAATACTTACATGTATCTGATACAATTATTATATATTCACATAAATTAATCTGATCCATAGATGATGATTGTACAAAATACATGTAAGTATTGTATTAAATAAATTATTTTGTATCTTATAAAAATGTTTTTAAGGTCTGAATTTTTTTTGTATCTTGAATGATTGTGGAGTTTATCTTATATAGGGAATTAGATTGGGTGTTCTCATGAGTTTTATTCGAAGAATATCTCAAGATTTAGGTTCTCACTGAAAAGACGGAATCTTCTTAAATATTATGGTTGCTTAATTGCCATTTAATATGGTATAGTGATATTTTTCATCACTTGTAAGAGAGATGTGATATATTCAATTTTCGTTAAAAACAAATTCAAACAAAATTATTATGATTATGCTATTGTGAAACTTAACTCACTCAACATAAACTCATGCTAGTATAGTATGTATTAAAAATGGTGCCTAATTATATTATATCCTACTTCAGATATTAAAATCAGAATAAATATAGGAAGTTTTGGGAAGGTTCAAATCTAGACTCTAATATCATTTTGTATTACGGTTTAGTAGTATTTCTTTTCACTTGTAAATGAGAGATCTTAAATTCAATTCTCGCCAAAGATGAATTTGAACCATATTATTTCTAGCTCACTGTGTAACTTTAACCTATCATTTCCTTTAGTATAAATAATCTCATTTGTTAAAAATAAACAAAAACAAAAACAAAAAACCTAAACTCTAGGTTCCTTTATTGCGGGTCAATGCACGTCGCGAACCTTGTACTATCATGTGTCAAATACTTCGATATTGACCAATGTGGCTTATGCATAGAATACGGTCCCATCGACATCCGTTGAAACTTTTCATAACCTTGAATAATATGTTAATAGACTCATTACAACCAGTGGCGAAGCCACGTGAGGGCTAGGAGTGGCTGCCGCCACTCCCCTCATTAGAAAACAAGACTAGAGCTTTAGTTCAGCTTCTCCACTCACTAGAAATCAAGCCTAGAAGCGTTGGTTCAGTCCTCTGGTGTCGTCGGAAAACCTGCAAGGTGAAGCCATGGCTGCTGCAGGCTACATATCTATGCAGTGGCTGTGTTTTGTTATAAGCAATCCCATGAAGAAGACACGTCCTTTGCCTTGGAAAAACAAAAATAATATACGCCTAACAGCGTTGTTTTGGGCATTAAAAATATCAAAAAAAACACATAGAAGGGGGACCACTTATCCCCATTAACTCTCACACATTCACTTCCCTACTTCCCACCCCACTACTGTGTCTTCTGCCTTATTTTAATTTAAATTATTAATTCATAATTTAACATGGGAATTGTTATTAGCACTCTAAAAATCTCATTCTACACTCTAAACTTTCTATATTAGGGAAAAAAAATACACTTGTGAGGAGTGTAGAATAAGATTTTTGGAGTGCCAATAACACTTCCCTTTATCATAACCATTTGCTTAATTGACATTCTTTATATGAATTACAGCGTAGTATACATATTAATTATTGATATGAATAATTGATTATTGATGAATAAGTGGATATGTTTGTTCCTGCTTGAAATTTAAAGAATTGAATCTTGATGCATATTTATACATGATTTTTATTGCAATTTGATCTTTGATTTAGACTAGCTTTTCACCAAATCCTTCGTTTTTGCCGCTAATTTCACTGTGGGATTTAGATTGGTCCTCAAAATTGTAGATTTTTAGGCAAATTTTAGATGCCATTATTCGAAAGGGTTCAAATTTTGTTAAAATTTGATGCTTGAAGGGGGTTGACGCATCAATTATTGGTTAAAGTTGCAGTTTTTTATCTTGAAAGAAAAAGTTAATAAGGTTCATTGTTTTCACATTTGGCATATCACACTAGAGTTGCTTGTATCAAATATAGGCTTCGTTTAGATTCTAGGATTGGATTTGAATGGACAAACATGTAAATTCAGTCCTCTAGACCAAATGAGGCCATATAGTATTATGATCAAAGAGATGGGCATCACTGCAATGCCCCCTTCACTTAAAGCTATCAATGAGTAGCAAATTTACGGCATAAAGCCTTGTTGGCAACAATTGTAACTTATTTGTCTTGATAAATATATGAGCGAATTTAATGTTGTCTACTATATAAAAGAATTTGGTTGTCTACATTTAGTTTGGAACCTTTCTCTTTTAAATTTCGCCCCTTCTCTCGACAATTCCTGGCTTCGCCACTGAATACAACTATGAGAATTTCGTCATTCAATCACACTAAATTATACATATTGATATCAAACCCTACTTTGGTTAAAGAAATTAGAGTGCTTTTGGATATTTATAGCCCAAAACATTTTTTTTAACAAACAATATTATCAACATTAAAGAAGAATGATATATTTAGTCTCACAATAAACTATTAATAATGTGGCAAAACACCCTAATTTATCTTGACTATTTTTTTGTCGAAAGTTTTATCTTTGACTATTTGAGAAAATTGAAGAGGCATAGTGACGTTGGTGATGCATACACAATTAACTATAAGACAAAATCTCATAAAAATTTATACGAAGAACCATATAATATAATCGTATGGCTGTATATTTTTCTTCTATTCTCCTTTTTTTTTTTATTTAAATATGTTGCAGAAAAACGCTTCATGCATGCCATTGTCCTATATATTATGTGCAGTACGATTAGGAAGATACCAAAGTAATTTTTTTTTGGGTAAATTACATTAAATTATCTTAATTATTAGGTCATTAACAGTTTTATACCTCGTCTTTAAAAAGTTTTAATGTCATACCTTATCTTCGAATTTGTTGCAATGTCATATATTCCGTCAGTTGTCTGTCAATTCCTCTGTTAAATGCTGACGTGGCTTGAGATGGGGTCCACTTTCTATTAAAAGATATTAAAAACTAAAAAAAAATCATTCAATATTTTTTAAATATTAAAATAATAATTAATTAAAGAAAAGTTATTATAAAAAAAAAAAAACCCAGTTCGTCTCCCCCTCCCACCCAAGCCCAACTTGCAACCCATGAAAAAAAAAACATCTTCATCTTCCCCGACCCACCTTCCCTGCAACCCACCCTTTTTTTCTCCCTCTCGTCTTCTCCAAACCCACGGCGCACCCATCCTTCACCTCCTACTCTGCACCCACCCTCGCACCCTCCCTTTTCCCTCCTCTACACACCCCACTTCTTAAATCCACACCTATTCCCCCTATTTTCTCTGTGCCCAGTTATGGGTGCGCAGTGGGTTTGGGGAAGACAAGATCTAGGTTGCAGGGAAAGGGGGTCGGGGAAGATGAAGATGGGTTATTTTTTTTCTGGGTTGCAGGTAATGGGTGCGAGAGTGGGTGCGGAGGAAGAGGTGGAGGATGGGTGCGCGGTGGGTTTGGGGAAGACATGAGGGGGAAGAAAGGGGTGGGTTGCAGGGAAAGGGGGGTCGAGGAAGATGAAGATGGGTTTTTTTTTTTTGGGGGTTGCAGGTTGGGCTCTTGTGGGGGAAGACGAACTGGGTTTTTTTTTTAATAACTTTTTTTAATTAATTATATTTTAATATTAAACAATATTAAATAATTTTAATTTTAATTTTTAATAATATTTATTAATTTTTAATAGAAAGTGGGCTCCGTCTCCAGCCACATCAGCATTTAACAGAGGAATTGACAGACAACTAACGGAAGGTATAACATTGCAACAAATTCGATGATAAGGTATGACATTGAAACTTTTTAAAGACGAGGTATGAAATTGTTAATTATCCAATAGTTGAGGTTGTTTTATATAATTTATTATTATTATTTTTTAAAAAGATATCTAAATATTTTTTTAATTAATTTTTGCAAACCATGGAGGCAGGCATGCATGCACCAACACAATGACAACGACTGTGGAATATTGCACTGGGCCTCTTACCACAACTCCATCAATAGCTTGACCTAAAGCAAACGAATAGAATTTACCCAAATCAAGAAACAATATATTTTTTTAATCTTATATAAATTGATATCAACTTTAAGCGAAAGCCAAATTTAGTGGATACTCAAGTAAAAAGAAAGATTATAAAGTGCATTGATAGATTTTTTTTATTTAAGAATGAATAGGGTGAGAGTCAAACTTTGGGTATAAACGAGTAGTAACTAATAAGTGTATTCTCAAAAGTGATTTGTCTTTTTATTATTTATATTTTATTAAAAAAATGACATATTTCATTCATAAAAGAGACCAAAAGTTATAATCGGATCAAAGAATATGACCTCAAGAAAATGGTACTTGCGAGCAAAAACAGACTCTGATAGAGCTGGAAGAGTAAGAAGATCCATATAAATCAATGCATCAAATGTTGCAAAATATATGAGAGATGAAACTTCTCAAAACAATTAATCATGGCTAGGAAGAACGATGTGCTTTTATCTGAACTGTGTGGAGAATGACATCACAACTCAAATTGACTTGTGATCTCAAATCATCATTTAATAGTGGATCCACAAACTCAACTAGTTTGCTTCTAATATTCTGGTATTAAATCTATCAGATCGACTTCATAACAACCAGACTTAAACATAATGAGACCACCAAC